ATAGAACAAGCCATCAACTTTCTTATAACATGGTTTTTATCATTGATGTGTATATTCTCAATATTTAATAAAATGACGACATTTGTGATTACCTCAAAAATTGATATTTTATAGTTCTGCCTGGTTTTCTCATAGAATCACTGTTAATATGTAAAACCATCCTCACAATGTCAAGGTTTTGTGATTTCGGAACTGCAAACAAACCCTTGACAGAAGTCACTATTTAAAAGTTGGGCTAGAGAGCTACTATTTCATTTGTTCCTGGTCTAGGACTGGAACCAAGCACAAAACAGCTTTTATATATCGGTAAGTTTTGGAAACAAATATGACTCGTCTTTAAAATGGAAAGTGTCAATATTGTAGGATTTGTGAGTAGTTACTTTAACGAGGTTCGCTCCTGAGCTTTTGAGCAGATTTATATCTTTAACCTATATTTTAAAAATTCTGCATAAAGTTTTAATTCTTACAATAAATTTGGATTCTACAATGCCAATTAAACTATATTAAGTTAAAACTCCATGATTAAATTCCATACCAAAAGCATAAAGTGAGGAACTATATTTTGTGGCAGAAGGTTTTTTTTTAGAAGAAAATGATCATTTTTTCTCTTTCGAAGTGTTTGAAGTATGTTAAGTTTGGGTTCCTATTTTTCCATGCAGCCTGCACACAAAATTATTTTGTACAGTGAACTGTTTTATACTGGTCCTAAATCATATATCAAATAAACTGTCATGAATTCTATCATCATATTTCATAAATATAGCAAATATATTGTGAAAATCAGGAAAAAAAATATCCCTATTTTAAGCTAAAATTAGCACTATTTTAGTAATATCTAAAAATTAACATCACAGACCCCCACTTTTTCTTTTCTTTTCTGAATATATAACATACTTTTAACCATTCTTCTTAAATTCAGTAAAATGACATTACTTTCAAATTATTTTTTTACTTATTAAATTTTTAATGCCAGAAAAATGAAATTTTTTGAGTGCATAAAGGTAAAATAATTGAACATGCGGAGTAATTTGAAAATTTTTTCGTTGTCACAAATTTTGATGTGTCTATTCAAGATGAAATAAGGATGTGTTTGTTCCCATAATTTATTTGAATAAAAAATATTGGAGGAAAAACTTTAAAAATTGATTTATGTGTAAGACGTATTTACAGTGCAAAAAGGTCAAACTAAATGCTCTGTAGCGCCAAAAGAAGCGCATTGACCCCCATTATTGTTTTGATTTTTGATTAAGCTATTTGATTAAGCTATGTGTATAAATTCTTAAAATATACTTGATAAAAAATTAATTCTCATTACTTTTGGTGGCAGGATCCAACCTCCTTAAATGATTAACATCGGGGATTAATTTTTTGAAGATCGTCCTCCAAACAATCACAAAAGATGTGCTTTGGAGTTGAGAAATTGATAAAGACGGAGTTGAAGAATGAATTCTCATTGGTTAGTTTATAATTACCCATTACGTCATGTGTGACCGCAAGCCCAACTTTTAAATAACTACTTATGTCAAGGGTTTGTGTGGAGTTCCGAAATCACAAAACCTTGACATTGTGAGGATGTATTAAAACAGAATAGGAAAAGAGTAAAGTTAAAGTTCAACCGTCGTTCAAAAACCTTCGGTCAAACTGAGCTATTCCACTTCACGATAGAAGATGAAAATCGGTAAACACTTTCTTTAAACTCAGTTTCTCATCACCAAAATGCTGAGTTCCACTTAGCAACCATATATTTTTTGGAATCACTGAGAGATAATCATAACATATTCATTAATTTGTAGTTTTGAACATAAAGAACCTGTCATTCTGACTTTGATAAATATCTTTAAAAAACTTTCAGACTAATATTCTTGTGAATAATACTTGGCAACAATTTTATTTTTTCATATAGCATTTACAGTTGTCTGGAACACTGAAATCTGAACACTGAAATACCATGGATATGTCGAAGTGATTTGGAGGTCCCAACCACGTATTCTTTAAGTATTTTAACCCTGATATCGCGAATCCTCGTGGTTTGACTGTATATTTTTTTTTCAGAATCACTTAACTCAACTGTATCATTTTGACAATTTTCCCCATAAAATCAGCATAGGCAACGATACCGGGGTTATGCTTTGCATGATGCGTGGATAGCTGTCTTTTCCAGCAATCCTCGATCGTCTCTACTTAATTTTGACCATCTTTAAAAAAAAACTTCAAGTTAATTTCCCTCTCTTGACTCAGTGTAGAAAATTGGTAAGGTAGGAAGGAAAAATATTTTTGCTGTTTTTTGCTGTTTTCAAAATCTTTGAGTTGTTTGACATGATGAAAATTTCGGAATAAATAAAAGAAAAAAATCGTTTTCTGGAGGTTTAAAAAAGTACAATTGTAGTTTTGAGTCGTACCATTTTTAGTCAATCGGTTGGGAGAGGGCAAGCAGACATTTTTTTTTTCTAAAGATGGTCTTATCTGTATACTTTTTAGAGAAATCAATGATCTCCGTTAAAACTGTTTTATCAAAAGAAAGTATAAAATCGGGCATGAGACGGTCAGGTGGAATCAAACTTACAGAATTCTTTTCACCAGGTAAGTAAGCAATTAACATTCACGTGTTTAATTATCACCATTCAACATAAATAACTCAAACGAGAGATGAAATTTCAGTTTTGTCACGTTCGAAGTTTTGAACCAGACAAATTCGAAAACCAGATAATCAAGTCCAGGAACAAAAGATAGCAAACATTTGTTAGTGGAAACGTCCTCTGAGCGACCAAGGCGCACCACTTTTCGAAATTTTAAGTATGTTGTTGGAGGTTTTCGGGAACACTTGGTAAAAGTTGCTCTAATTCATTAATGTCTTCCGTTTCATTTTGGATGTTAGTACATAATTCGTTCTCAGAATCGTTTTCTCCATCATCGGATATGTTATCCTCCGTGTCGTCTTCTTTAGGAACATGACGTCGTTTTATAAAAATGTTCAGTTTCATGTGGTTTGACCAATCTTCCCGGTATATTCAGAATTTTTCATCTTCTGTAGCAGAGACCTTTCCATTATTAGGATAATTCGGTAGCTTAGTCGACCAGTTTCAGCATTACATGTAAATAGTAGCACATACATCGATTCATCATCGTCCTTTCTCGTAAGTAAAATAATTATTCAGCATGTTTAATAAGTACTGACATAAAGTCACATTTTTATAATACATTTGTTGTCTAACGATTTTGATTGGACAACGTCTTGAATTATAAATGATAAAACTGAAGATTTACATGTACCTGTGGCAAATGTTTGAGCAAGCGCACAGTAAAATTTCAACTATTCGAAAACCTTAGCATTAGAACTGGAATAACCTTATTATATTTGAATGCTCTCCTACGGTCTGTCTTATATTTTACAGTCCTAAATATCCGTTTTTCGCTCTGTGTTATGGAACAGTTAAATCACCAATGGACCGTCGTAAAGTATTCATATACATAAAATTATTCCTTAAATCATGTTCTTGTTGCTAATAAATGAATTATAGTTTGAATAAGTAACGGTCGTTTAGCAGTTACTATACATACTACCAAAATTTGCAGCAAAAATAAAAAAAATTTCCGGAATTTGAAACTTAATTAGATACACGTACATGTACCTGTATATATGGGGTTTATGTCTCTCAGTTGATTCGATACGCAAGAGCATGCTCTTTGTATGAACAATTACTAAAACGAGGCAAGCTATTGACAAACAAGTCAATGAAACAAGGATATCAACAGTCTCATTTGAAGGCGGGTGTGACCGGTCGGCAGGGGATGCCTGATCCCACCTCTAAATTTTGAGGTCTGTCTTTGCTCTGCTCCAAATTTGTATCGTTTCATTGGACTTTCGAGATTGAATACTGTTCGTTATCTTCATATTTCATACAGTAGATTTATATTTTATCAAAATTCTTGAGCATTGTCTCGGATTGCCATATTTTATTTTGAATCTGCTGACATTGTTTGCCAAGTCTGCTGTACTTGAAAGCCAAAGAATGTCGACCCATCAAAATCAAGAGCTTGCACCACACTTACTAAACAACAAAGAGTATCCATATTTTGCAGTAATGTCGGAAAGAGCCTAAAATTATTATATTCAACAAGAAATGTGACCGTGAAGTAGCAGTTTTAACGATATTATCTCAGTTTGACCAAATTTTCTTGAACGACGGTTAAAATTTAACTTTATACTTTTCCTATTTTGTTTAAAACCCTACAGAAAAAATAGTTTGTGGTATAATTAAAATAGAAAACAGCCATACGTTAGTAAATAATTGTTATAATTAGTCAAATACAATGAAAATCATCTTCATGTCATAGCGAAAAACAACTTTGCCGTCTGTAGCCCCAGTTGCACCGGCAGTCCCAGTTGCCGGAATAGGGTGTGGATATATATTCCTGTATAAAAATTGCAAGTAGTTGAGGATAACATTAAAAACAAATCACCCAAAGAAAACCATTGTCAACCGAGGCGCAATCGAGGTTGACAATGGTTTTCGAGGAGGGTCGAAAATTTTCAATTTTATGCCCTCTGCTACATGCAATATTTATTAAATTATACTGGATGTTTTTTAAAGATACAATATAACACTGAACCGTTCACGCATAACTACTACTTAATTCTTATGTAGTGGAGTTCCTCCTTGGTCAGACGCATTGCTGGGCTATGCACAGGCACCTGAAGTATATGAATGGTGCATGTAAACCCCTCCTCGTAATATTCTACATGAATATCTTGCCTAATTTAGGCATATTAGGATATCAGGCATGATATGCTAGGAATTCAAATAATTATATTTTTAGATAAGTTATCGTCGCTTCCGAAAATTCTCAGAAGGTGGGGGGGGGGGGGGGTATCCATACAACAGGTGCCTGAAGGAGCTTTGTTCATGACAAAATATATAGTTATCATACAGGAACTATTCATAAATACCAAGAATAAACTTGATAGAATAATTATGTCTTATGTAGTTAAAGCTACTTACCTGTAATCTGGATTGCTCTCGACCTTGGTTTTAACATTTATAATAACTCCAGGTCCATACAGTTTTTCAATCGGAATTTGATGCGTCTTCCAAGAGCCCTGGTGAATATGAACCGGAGCGTCAATGTGGGTGCCCATGTGCTCTGGCATGGCGATGTGGTTGTTTTCAAGCCTAAAAGATGTAGATTTTTTAATACATTTCCTTATGTATGAATTCATTGATATGATGAAAATCAGAACTACGGTCGCAGTATAAATCAATACAATCAATATATAAATGTTGTTTGAATTAAAAAAAAAATGCTACACATTTTAATTATCAACAAATAATTTAATTCTGGATGTAACACGCCATTTGATTCGATAAAAATATTAGTTATGTCGTATAATATGTCTTGCCTACGTCAAAATGACGTACGTCAAAAACATATCAAATCTCTTGACGTTGCATCTAAAATTTGAAGAATTTTTCAGGCCTTTTGAAGGGATAATTCTCTTATTTTTTTTACATTTAATGATAGAAAATTAAATTCTGATGAATAAATTTAATAGCTACCTGGGTTGGAACAGTTTACGCCTTTTTATAAACCTCTTCGCGGTTTATAAAGCGTTTACTGCCCCAACCCAGGTCATAAAGGGTAACTTGGATAGCTATCAAATTCATTCCTTAACACTACTGGACGAAAAAAGTGCTGAGAATCCCAAATTTTACTGATAATGTTTGATAATTACTGATACTGTGCTGTTCTTGCTGATAAATACTGATATTTACTGTTATTGTTGCTGCTGTTACTGATAATTTCTGTTGTTTCTGATAAATACTGATAATAACTGTCGTCTTTACTGTTGAGTCTGATAAATACTGATAAATACTGTTGAGGTACTGTCGCTGCTGAGAATTACTGATAATTACTGTTGTCATTGTTCTTGAGCGTAAAACGTGTTTTAATTTTTTCAATGAAATAATTTTTTTAATTTAAACAATTTATAAGGTCAAGATATTTAGTGATTTTAGTCTCAAATAGCTGATAAAAAATATATGCATGTATATATATATATATTTAAATCACCACAATACAATCTTTTTGTTTACAAGTCAATGAAAAAAAAAATTCATGATTTTTTTTTCTGATCATAGATTGTAAACTCTTAAAGTCCATGTAAATATTTGAGGAATCGCTGTGCGTGAAAACAATCGAGTTTTTAGTTAAGAAGTAATAAAACTTCGGTATGACAGCCACATGTATGGGGCTAGAGAGCTGTCCCATAACTTTCTTTCAGAAGAATTTTCTTGCATGTTTAAAAAATAGTAATGATTCTGGTCAAGATGTCTAATCTTGTCGCACTACACGTCATTTTAATCTACATGATTGCCATTAAAAAGAACTTTCAAGCCTTTAAAGTTAAAGAGTATGTTTAATTCAATCTGTAGTTTCATTTCACATTTCGTATCGCAAGATAACAGGGCTGCGTAATGTTAATAAAAAGAAATGAGATGATTCTGCTCCACGACCGAATTGAGACCCCCCCTCACCCCCCCCCCCCCCCCCGCACACATTCATAGTGGCATGTAAACACCAGTCTGCAGATTGTCTGTGATTTTTTTTTGTTTTGTTCATAATTAATTACTCTCAAATTTCGTGACCTGTTTTAATGTGACATTTTTTTTTAATTTAACTGTATATAGTACTATAAATTCAATTAAATTAAAAGTGTCGGGGAAACGTACCCTTGCAGTTGTAAGTTCGTCCTGTGACTTGGTTGAATTCCTTATTAATAAAAATATGTGTTTTTTTTCTCTGATCATTAATCAACCGTGTCCAAAAAACAAACAAACAAAAAAAAAATCTTGAGAATGTGACCCGGTTTTTGCCGTGTTTGACAAACAGATTCTCCGGTAATCATGGTAATATCCGCGAATTATTGTTCTACGCATCACATAAATTTGATACCTGTGACCTTCGGCTGGAATGTAATTTTTTTGTAAGAATGAAGATATTTGGATGGATGTAATTTAAACTGTTTTAGCCCTTAATGGAGTTATTTACATTAAGAAGAAAAAGGTCGGCGTTCCAATGGGCAAACTCCCCATGGTCCACGTGCACTTGTCGGTGTTTGTGACAACTAACCTAGCGAAACTTCGACTATCTATAAACATGATAAAGGTTTGTGTTTATAATTATTTTTCATAACACTGAATACACATTATGAATTGAAGAATTATGCCGTTATACAATGCGTTTCACCACATCAAAATTACTGACTGATTATTATAACTCTATTGCCCATATTCACACCTATGTTTAAACCAGGTTTACCTGTAAGAAGGACTCACATTTTTTAAACCTGTTTCACACCTGCTTCTCAGGAGTGAGCTCATCTCAGAAATTAGGGTAAACGTAAACCTAAACCTGGTCAAGGGTAGGTTTAAATGTTAAAGATAGTGTTATTCTAACTATGGAAGACCACATAGATGGAGTAGAAAGGCTGGAACTTATTGACCAACTGTTTGTAAGACGACCTAGAACTATCCGTGATAGATTAGATCCATTTCTTTTTTATGATGAGGAGGATTTTCTTGTGAGATTCCGTTTTTGTAAACGTGACACTCTCCGTATAATGGACATGCTTGGAAATGATCTAGAACCAAATCAGAGAAAACTGATGTCAGCTTCACCCCTTACTCAGCTTTTGATAACCTTAAGATTTTTTGCTACAGGAGCATTTCAGCAAATGAACGGGGATTTATTTGGCATTTCACAGGCAACAATAAGCAGGGTTGTTAAAAGAGTTTCATATGTTTTGGCATCAAGGTATAGGGATGTTATTCAGTTTCCTCAAGGTAACAACCTACTTCAGATACAGAGGGGTTTTATGGACATTGGAAGAATTCCCGGAGTAGTTGGTGCAATTGATTGTACCCACATACCAATTCAGTCCCCTGGAGGTAGAAATTCAGAAGTTTACAGAAATAGAAAGGGATTCTTTTCTATAAATGTGCAAGCTATATGTGATCATGAGTGTAATTTCACAAACATTGTAGCTAGATGGCCAGGCAGCACCCATGATAGCAGAATCTTCGAAAACAGTTACTGTAATATTTGCGCCAGGTTTGAGAGACATGAGATAGATGGAATATTATTGGGCGACAATGGATATCCGCTTCGACAATATATAATTACACCTCTATTACATTGTAACACTAGACCTGAAATACTTTTTAACAATGCCCATTGCCATTCTCGGGTTAAAATTGAAAATGCCTTTGGAATTTTGAAAAGAATGTTTCCCTGCCTTAGAGTAAAGCTCAGCATAAAACTTCAAACTGTACTACATGTAATAGTCTCATGTGCAATCTTATACAACATGCGTAGAAAGTGGAATGCCCGTTTGCCATTCAATGATGATGCTGATATCGATGACCCCATCGTTCCAGTCCCAGTGCCACAACGGCCCAATCAGGGAGGACAGGGCATCAGAATGCTACTAATAAGGCATTTTCAGGAATAGATAAAAAAGGGGAAAAGGCATGTATATTTCTTTTATTTTTGCAATCTCAATGATATAATTCACATTTGATTTTCAAAAATTGAATGGCTGCCATATCTTTGCATTATCATTATTTTGATTCTGATTGGTATTATTGTTTCCATCTCTGTTGAAACTGATTTCTTCAAGTTTGCGAATTTTAGCCTCAATATATTGTTTTTTCAAATGAAGTATCTCCATTTTCAGTTGATGTTCTTTTTCGGCCATCTCGAGCATCTTTTTCTTGACATCATCCTGCTCCACATATTTTCTCTTAGATGCAGATATGGATTTACATGAGGACGTGGTCATTGTCTGGGTGCTTACTGTCGCTGGTGACATGGACGTTTGTGGCTCTGATGCAGACACAACAGGATTTATTTCTGGGGGATGCAGATTACATACACTTGATGATGTGGAACCTGGCTATATATTGTTTTGATTATTAAAATGAATGCAGTTAGAATACTGTTTATGTCATTTTATAAAGATTAAAGAAATAGTTACATTTATTACAAATATTTGTTTTTGTATGTATTTAAAATACTTACTGACACATTGGAGTTATCTATATCACCGTGAAGTTCAGCGTCGTCATCAAATTCATTTTCGCAGCTGTTAATTTGTTGCAGAATGATCTCTCTAACTGCGGAGGAGAGCTTGTCAATTGTCCCTTCTAAAGCACCACCACCAGTTTTTGATCTCTCTCTTCGTTCCTTTGCCACAGCAGACTTGCTTCTTGATTTTAAGTTTTTCCATAATGATTTTAGCTGAGTGGATGTCCTGGTATTTACACCATTTCTACTGTTAAATTCCTTAGCAAGGTTTTCCCATTCCAAATTTTTCTTGTGAATCATTTTAGCATCAGTAGCTTTGTTTTCAATTATATCCTTCTTTGACCCGACTAAATCAATAAGGGTACACTTTTCTAGTTCAGTAAAATTTGGACCTTTCTTCCCAGCCATTGTTCATGTAATACCAAATAAAGAAAGCAAACAGAGCAGGGGTTCAGGTAAACCCAGTTTTATTTTAAGTGTGAAACACAGGTGAGTTTTATGTGAACTCAGCTCAAATGGGATTTAAACTCAGTTTACCTGAACTAAGCTTACTCCTTAAATCTAGCTTATCTAAGACACAGGTGTGAATATGGGCATATGTGTCACCTATAGATCTGTTCATGCAACTGAGATAATTCGAACTATACTGTCAGGCTGCACAAGTTTATGTCCAGAAATATTTTGATAATGAACGATGGATTCCTGTTACCATGAATATATATCATACCATTGAAATTCTGAGAATATTAGGTATTTTATTATTTTATTTAGAACTACAAAACAATGGATCCAATTCTACATTTTAGCTAGTATAATCAGATAATACTTTAATTAAGTAAATGTTCACAAGTAGATGTTATGGCTTTTTTTGTATATTTGCAATTCTATTGTCCACTATGCATTTTGAAAACAACAATGGTAATAACTTTCAACATTTCAACACATAAAATAAATAGAATTAAGGAATAACTGTCTTATTTTTTGGATTCATGATGTGATCAATCGAGTGGCTTGCGTGATAATTTGCATAAACGCCGAAGGCGTTTATGCATAAAATTATCAAGCAAGCCAATCGATTGATCATCGT